ATTATAGTTTAACACAAGTGAGAGATACGTCAAAATAATCTGAAGCAAAAATGAAGGGAATTAAATGATCTTTCCAACAGCACTTTCGATTTTACGATCGGACTTTATTTATGCCTTATAGAGAGCAAAAACTGCAAATAGGTCCGATTTAGACCACTCTCCCCTAGTATTAATTTTAGCTTTTAATTCAAAGTTTCTTAAATAGATGAAATAAAATAAGTTCTTATTAATGTCATAAATTACATTGTACAGTGAATTTAATAATTAAGTAGGATACATTCGTAAATCAGATATTACTAAAGTTAATATTAGAAAAAGAAAACAATTACAATATGGATATTTTTATATATCTTCTTTTTTAATAAATATCTTTTTAATAATCATACGAACATTAATACGTTATTAGAAATATCAAATATTTTAATAATCTTTCTAATATTGGAATAGCACTAACAATAAGATACACAATAAATGACTTTCATGAAAAAAGTTTTATTCCCGTAAAACAATAAGAAACTTCTGATTTGATTAAAATTTATCGGTCAACTCTTCCAAATATATAACTATTTTTAATATTGATTAAAAATTCATGTTGTAGAATACTATTTATATACAGAACATAAAACGAGCAAAAGACAAAGAGTGCAAAATATATATACAGTGTTGCAAAATTCTAAAGAAATATAAAGGAGAGATGGAATAAATATAATGCAGATAATTTTTATTCTATATGCTTAACAATAAAAGAGATTAACCGTTAGTATCATTATAAAACGTACAATTTCATGGTATTGATTTCATCAGACGCGCTGTCTTTTCTTAACAATGAGAATATTATCTTCGATATTAAGAAATAATTTGATATCGGATAATAACTTTATTAATTTAATACTTTCATTGCTCTTTATACTCTTATTCTTTCATTATTAATCATCTTTCTTAAAGCTTTTTACTATCATATTAATTTTTTCCATAAAGCCTTTATGTCATCGTTTCATTTAAATATTAATATGAGATGTTAACTCAAATATATATTCTTCTTTGTGTTAATTAATTTGGTTAATATTTATGTTAAATAAAATGATTCGTATTATTTGCGATGTACGAGTTAGTACTTCTACTCACAGCACGGAGTGGTTCATTGAAAACGAACAAAAGACAGAAATAAACAAATATTTTGCACAAAGGTACTTTGGTCTTTTATATATACATCCCCTCCATAATTACAATGTTTTTATTCTTAATCTAAACTGTTTATTGGGATTACGTTGGAATATAAAACAGACAATCTCGATAGATAAATAAATCAAAAAGTAAATCCATTCGATATATCATATATTAAATTATTGATTTTCCGCATTCTTTTTATACCTTTTTATACATTTAATGATTGATCGTAATCAGACAACAATAATACAAATTTATCTACTGAATGATTGATCATAATTGAATTTGCAGCTTAAATTGAATAAACAATAAATTGAAGCTAAAAGAACGTTTTATTGTTACTATAATACTTAAATAAATTTTACACTTAATTAGCATATTAATACCGTGATTTAAATAATAACGAGACAAATAATAAAGTAGAAGAAAGATTAATTGTGTTAACGTTTTTCATCATTGTTACATTTGTTGCGTTTTGTTAAATTTAATTTATTTCTTAGTCATAACCAAAATAATGAAATTAGTTTTATTAATTGATTATTACATGCATGCCTTAGCTTTATTATTTTATTTGTATAGATATCTTTATTTGATGGGCACTTTTTTCTGAAAAAATCTGATTAAGTAAAGTAAATTAATTAATTAAATCTTAAATATAAAGTATAAATAAATAAATTAAATCTTAAACATAAAGTGTAGCTAAATAATACATAATGTATAAGATTAGTAGTATCGTTTATTTAAATTAGTTGCGTCAATCATGCCATTCAATTCAATATTTATATCAATTGTATACACAAAGAAGATCACATATACAATAAAATCCTTCTTATCGTAAATATATTGAGATTTTCTCTTGATGATAAATTATCATCCTTATTGATAACATGCTGTTGAACTCAACGAAATGAGTATAAAATGCAGTCAATTTTTTGGATTGACATCATACAGCGAAATGTTTCCCAAAGCAATCGTGTTCTTTGCTCTCCTAACAGTGGCGGTCGCTGGTAAGTCAATTTTCTCGATTTATTTGACATATACATAGGACGTTTTATAACATATAGACATAATTCCGGAATAAATTCAGAACATAAAAATAACATAAACTATTTATTTATCTATATCTGATCTTATTTCCAAGTTGCAGACATTTTCATGTTCTATTAATTCTCGTTATAAAAATTGAGCTAGCATAGCATTTTTACATTTTTGTCTTATTAATAGTCAATAAGATGCTAAGATGTGTCAAGAAATGTGGAAATGTTAGGCTAGCTCAGTTTGTAATGAGAATTGAAGAGTTTGCTAAATTGCTGGAAGGCCATTTCACATTTTGTAAAAGCAGGGTATATGAATTGTTAAAGGGATGGGAAAAATATTAGAGTTTATTTACGCTGCATTTACAAAATGTGGGCAGCTCATTGTTGCAGCAAGTCTTTCAAAATAAGGTCCGATAGAATTAATGTTTATGAATTTTTTAGATAATTTTTATGACTCAAATTCACATTTGAAGTCATGCCTATATGATACGAAACATTCTGTATGTGTATATAAAATTTATATATAGTTATATTTAAGAAATAAGCACAAAAATAATATATAAAAAATTTCTCTTATTAAATAATCTCAAACTTATTAAATAAATAATTGAATTACTGTATTGTTCCATAGATAGTAAAGCAAGCAACAAAATTCAATTTTCATTATATCATTACAACTTCTTCTAACTTAGAGAAGTTCCATAGAGAACTATTTTTAGCACTTCTATGATCAACTTCTTCTGTTATAAATGTATTTCCTTAAATGTTATTAATTTAAATTTAAGAGAGGCCCCGAGTTGGTCTTCAGATGCCGCCGATTTTGCCACGTTTTGCTGGCCCGATCTCGCCACAAGTGGTTGGAGGTGAAGAAGCACCGGCAGGAGATTACCCGTTCATAGTTTCCCTTCAAATGTTCGGCTCTCATTTCTGCGCTGGATCCATCTTAAACAAAAATTGGGTTATAACAGCAGGACATTGTGCTGACGCAGTTCCTTCTTTAAAGTATCTTGAAGTTAAGGCCGGTAAGCACAATATTCGAGAAAACGAAAGCACCGAGCAGATAGTTCAAGTGGCCCAAGCTTACACACATGAAAACTATGGAGGGTAAGTAAAACGTTAAAGAGCAATAAGTACGATATATAATAATTTAATTAACTCCATCTCCGACAAAATTTGAGATTTTTTTTGCGACACGAATGTGAGTAATTATTTCCGACATATTTTTGCCTGCTGAATACGAATTCGTTGACAAAATTTGGTTAACACATCATAAATATTCCGAGGTATCAAAAAAGCAAAACATTACAATTATTTTGAAGATTTTTATGACGTTTGTAACATAGATTTTTTCCTAAATTTTATTCCTAAATTTTATTAATGCTATTTGACTATATCAATTTGGAGCTTTAAAATGTATTGTGATTTTCTCGATATGATTTTTCACTTTCGAGATACATATACAAGCAGATGAGATGATATTACATGGGAAAAGAACTATTTCAAAATGATATATCTTGAAAATGAAAAATTATATCAAAAAGAACCAAAATGCATTTTAAAGCTAAAAGTTAACGTTTCTCATGGCACCAATGAAATTTTGAAAAAAATTTGGTACTGATTGTACAACTTCTTAAAAATTGTCATTTTTTTTCTCTGACGCCATTTTTCTCAAAATTGTGACGCGGTAATTAAATTTCGTCAACGAATTTGTGTTCAGCAAACAAAAATATATCAGAAATGATTATTAACATGCGTGTTGTAAAATGATGTTAGACAGTGTCCTTATAAGAATGAATATTTACTTCATGTATAATTAATGTTTTATTTACAATTCATTTGTAACTTCTTTGTATATAGAAATAATTTAGATCAAAATAGCTTATGAATTAATATTCAGGAATTTTATTTGTAGAATAAATGCAACAATTAAAACAATTAACAATGACGTAGTCATTGATATTAGTATCACGATTAGCTTGATATTTACGATTAGAACGCTATATTTCAGATAAACGATGACCTATTAATTCAATCTTAAAATCTTTTAAGTTATAATATTTCTATTGATTGTAGATTATTATTATCATTTCTCCACTAATACTATAATGTTCTATTATTAGTTTAAGAGCAATTCATTTTAAAAATTTGTAATTAATAAATATATATACATATATATTGCATTATATATATATATATATATATATTGTAACACATATTTTCTAATTTTTAGTGGTGTTGGTCCATATGACATTGCTCTGCTTAAGCTTGCGTCTCCATTAAAATTGACGAAAGAAATACAAGCCATCGAATTACCACTGCCAGAAAGTGAACCAACTGGAGAGGCATGGCTTTGTGGATGGGGCTCCACTTCGACTGACCGTTATCCAATAATGCCAGATAAACTTCAACATGTTAAGATGGAGTACCTCGATCGCATTACGTGCCATGAATCCGTCGAACGTTTGACAGGATCTTCTCCCGTTCATGAAACCAATATCTGCACTGGGCCACTGTACGATCAAATCTCCGCATGCAGTGTAAGTGATATACAAACGTTCAATAAATTCAGTACATGAGCTTCAGTAGCTTTGTTATTGTCTGTTAATGTAACAATTTAAAATATATATTGAGTTTTTAATACACTTTTAGGGAGATTCCGGTGGCCCACTAATTTCACGTAACGAACAAAAATCGCTTCTTACTGGAATTGTATCTTGGGGTATTATTCCATGCGGTACTAAAGGAGCGCCATCCGTATACACCAGAGTATCCAGTTTCATTGAGTGGATTAAGCAGAAAACCAGTAATTATTAATGATGACAATATTGACGACGTATCAACGTATACTGAATGGCGAATTATATATTATTAATTATTATATATTATTATGTGTTATGTAACATAAAATACAATAAATATACAGCAAATATATATAATAATAACGTTTTTTATTCCTTTCCTACATGAAAAGTAAAAACTAATTAATAGTAACTTGATTGACTGAACAAAACACTTATGGCAAAATTTATTTCTGTTTGTGTTTTTATATTATTTAACAAAATCACGTTATTCTCTTAAACATATATGTATATCTGTCTTAATAATACTAATTCGTTCATCAACAAAACATATTTTAATATACAAATCATATAAAATATATAATGGTAATAAGGCTCAACAAATTTAATATAAATGGGTAATAGAGCTACGAGCCAAGGTTAATATACAATACATGGTCAAAATTAAAAAATAAAAATAAAAATAAACATACAATAACTTTAATCTAAATGCCGGCAATAACAAACGTTTCGGTCCTTCTCAACAAACGCATCGGATCATTCTCAATGTTAGAATTGAACAATATAAAATTAAAAATTAGAATTCAGTAACTTCCCTCTCATCTCGCGGTACCTCCGCCAACATAATTGGTACGATGTGGAATCAGCAATGTGAATATCCAATTATGTGTAATGTATGATTTCTGTTAAACATAGGTCATACAAATAATCGGTAATATATAATAAAACGAGAGATAGTACAAGATACAATCGGTGATATAAAATATAAGATGAAAATTAAAACAGTCATACATAAACGACAATCGGTAATATATATAAGCAGTATCATTATAAGCATATATCTATTATTGCAGTTAGTTTTATTTTGGATTCAACTTTTTTTGCTTTTAATAATAAAACATACAAACAAGTATTTGGTACTCCTATGGGCTCACCGTTATCACCAATAATTGCCGACATTGTTATGCAAGACTTAGAAGAGATAGCAATAAAATAATTATCTGTACAACCTTTGTGTTACTACTTTGGTACGATGTGGAATCAGCAATGTGAATATCCAATTATGTGTAATGTATGATTTCTGTTAAACATAGGTCATACAAATAATCGGTAATATATAATAAAACGAGAGATAGTACAAGATACAATCGGTGATATAAAATATAAGATGAAAATTAAAACAGTCATACATAAACGACAATCGGTAATATATATAAGCAGTATCATTATAAGCATATATCTATTATTGCAGTTAGTTTTATTTTGGATTCAACTTTTTTTGCTTTTAATAATAAAACATACAAACAAGTATTTGGTACTCCTATGGGCTCACCGTTATCACCAATAATTGCCGACATTGTTATGCAAGACTTAGAAGAGATAGCAATAAAATAATTATCTGTACAACCTTTGTGTTACTACAGATATGTGGATGATGTCATCCTTGCACTTCCATCTAACACTATCAATTATACATTAGATACGTTTAACTCTTTACACAATAGATCTGGTTTATATTTCTGTCTTTATCTCGTTATATATTAGTTTATTATATTATTTATAAAATATAAGATGAAAATTAAAACAGTCATACATAAACGACAATCGGTAATATATATAAGCAGTATCATTATAAGCATATATCTATTATTGCAGTTAGTTTTATTTTGGATTCAACTTTTTTTGCTTTTAATAATAAAACATACAAACAAGTATTTGGTACTCCTATGGGCTCACCGTTATCACCAATAATTGCCGACATTGTTATGCAAGACTTAGAAGAGATAGCAATAAAATAATTATCTGTACAACCTTTGTGTTACTACAGATATGTGGATGATGTCATCCTTGCACTTCCATCTAACACTATCAATTATACATTAGATACGTTTAACTCTTTACACAATAGATCTGGTTTATATTTCTGTCTTTATCTCGTTATATATTAGTTTATTATATTATCGATTATCATTTTTATATTATTGACTATATTACTGACTTTATATTACTGACTTTATCATAGTGCTTATATATATTACAGATTGCCATTTATGTATGACTGTTTTAATTTTCATCTTATATTTATATTACCGATTGTATCTTGTATGACTGTCTCTCGTTTTATATTACCGACTTATTTGTATGACCTATGTTTAACAGAAATCATACATTACACATAATTCGATATTCACATTGTTGATTCCACATCGTACCAATTATGTTGGCGGAGGTACCGCGAAATGAGAGGAAAGTTACTGAATTCTAATTTTTAATTTTATATTGTTCAATTCTAACATTGAGAATGATCCGATGCGGATCGAAACGTTTGTTATTGCCGGCATTTAGATTAAAGTTATTGTATATTTATTTTATTTTTATTTTTATTTTTTAATTTTGACCATGTATATTAACCTTGGCTCGTAGTTCTATTACCCATTTATAACAAATCATATAGTTAAAAGTTTACGTATACAAGGTGTTTTATTTTAAGTGATACAGTCGATTATATATTAAAAAAAAAGGAATTTTCGAGAAAATTTTCAGACAAACAACAATTGCATGGTGTAAAAGAGAATAAATAATGGTAAAATCAATTTTAGGTAACGATAATACATCTTTATCTATATTAATATACGATCTATCATAACAGGATTTGCAACTTAACTGATTAAAGCTAGAAAAATTTTTCATGATTTACTACTTAAATAAACTTTATATTTAGTTATTAATTAGTTTACAATAATACAGCAGTTCATTTAAAATGTGATTTAATGATATGAAAACAAATAACATATAAGAAAATTAATTAAATTTGTAATAATATTGTTTGTTACTGTTATATTACCACTTTTTATTTAATTTAGTATAGTTTTGTAGTTATTTGTTATATTTAGTTTATTTTAAAGTTACAATGATTATTAGAATAATTAAATTTTATGCTTTATCAGTTTTTATATTAACTTCTTAACATTATTTATATTTTGTTTGGACACATCTTTGTTTTTTTTTGATAAATGCTATTTTTGTGAAAAAAAATAATTAAGTTCAATGCCTAAATAAATTAAATATTAAGTATTAAGTATAAAAAATAAAGTATGGATAAATACGTTTACATTCTTTAGGAAAACTGTAATTTGATGCATTTATGCATTTTATATATGCATTTTATTTCAGTATATCTAATTTTATACAAGCCATTGTATATTGCAGATTATTATCATTGAGGTACATAATATATAGGACCTAACAGCATTGTATAAATCATTTATATAAATTATCTGTGCTTTACAATTTAATATTTATAACAATTAATATACATAAAATAGGAAGAAGTATCATCTGGAATAAAATTTTTCTTATCGTAAAAGTATTATAATCAATTCTCATAGATAATAATGGCTTATCAGCATATTATCACTGATATCATATGAATACACTCGATGAAACGGATATAAAATGCGGTCTATTTGTGGGATTGTCATCAAACAGCAAAATGTATTCCAAAGCTATCGTGTCCTTTGCTTTCCTAGCCATGGCAATCGCTGGTAAGTCAATTTTTTCGATATATATATATCCTGAAGTTATTTTGAGACTGAAATTCCAGTACCAAAATGTCGAGGCTATAATAGTTTGTAAATTATAATCATTTATAAATTATATCGTTTAAAATTTGCGCGTTCAGGTATAGTACAAAGCAAAGTGCTAAAGTAAAAGCTAATAATTACCTTTTGTTAACACCAATATAAATATTATGTATGCGAAAATAAAATTACTGATATTTGTAATACTTGATATTTATTATGTAAAAAAAAATATATTTAGGACATTATGATATTAAATTTTCGTCTGAAAATGACTTCAGGAATCTGTCATTAGCAGATGGCGCGTTAGGTCTGAAACATCCTGAGTATATAATTTGTATTTAAGTAAGAACTTACAAAATGGTTACTAGAACAATGTATAACAAATTTCTTTTATTAAAAAGTATTACAACTAAATTATTGTATTGTTATATATATTGCACAGCAAGTAACAAAATTTCTGATTATATTACTAGAAACTCTTCTAATCTTATTTTACAAAGAACTAACTTTGATGTGCTACCATGAATTTCTTCCGTCGCGAATGTTTTCTTAAATATTATTAATTTAAATTATAGAGAGACCTAGAGTTGGTCTCCAGATGCCGCCTATTTTGCCACCTTTTTCTCGCTCGATCTCGTCACAAGTGGTTGGAGGTAAAGAAGCAGGAGTAGGAAGTTATCCGTTCATAGTTTCCCTCCAAATGTTCTCCCAACACTTTTGCGCCGGATCCATTTTGAACGAAAAATGGGTTATAACAGCAGGGCATTGCGTTATCGCCGTTCCTACTTTAAGCATTCTTCTCGTCAAGGCTGGAAAATACAATCTTCAACTTATAGAGGACACCGAACAAACAGCCAAAGTGGTGCAAGCTCACATACATGAAAATTATAAACAGTAAGTAGAAAGTTAAAAGTAATAAGTACGAACAATTCAATTAATTCTTATATGAACGATTCTTGTTTAGTACAGAATCAATATTCTATTTATAATTGATTTCTAATTGTATATAAAGATAATCTAGAACGTAATTTTGTATCAATAATCAACAGTTTTTTTTTTGTAGAATGAGTGCAATAATCGAAATAATGATTACTGATAGTCACAGCATTGATATTAATATCGCGATTAGCATTTGATATTTGGGATTAGAAAACTATATTTTATATAAGTACCTAATGATATACAGATTTTTTTCGAGATTTGTTGCGTTATGTACATGAAATTTCTATCAATTTTGCAGATCATTATTTTTCCACTAATACTCCAATTTTTTTTAGTATTAATACATTAATTTAAAAACATATGTTTCTACAAGAAATGGATAATTAATTAGTACATATAATTTTATATATACATGTATTGCAATTTATACTTTCTAATTTTTAGTGGTGTTGGCCCATATGACATTGGTCTACTTAAGCTTGCATCTCCATTTAAGTTGAACAATAACGTACAAGCCATCGAATTAGCACCCCCAGGAAATGAACCAACTGGAGAGGCATGGCTTTGTGGATGGGGCTCTATCTCGACTACCAATTATCCAATAATGCCAAATAAACTTCAGCATGTTAAAATGGAGTACGTCAATCGCACTACTTGCCACGAATCCGTCAAACGTCTAACGGGATCTTCTCGTGTTCATGAAACTAATATATGCACTGGGTCACTGTACGATAAAATCTCGGCATGCAAAGTAAGTGCCAGACGTTTAGTAAATTCAGTGAATAATAATTATTATTTTGTCCGTTTTTTAATGCAATAATTTAATATGTCGTTGTTTTTAATACGCTTTTAGGGTGACTCCGGTGGTCCATTAATTTCGCATAACGGAAAAAAATCGGTGCTTACTGGAATTGTATCTTGGGGTATTTTGCCATGTGGTACTTTAGGCGCGCCATCCGTATACACTAGGATATCTAAATTCAATAACTGGATTGCACAGAAAATTAATCTACATTTCAATTATGTTTGACGACAATATTGACAATATATATGAATGTATAATATATATGAGGAATTGTGATATTATTGAGGAATGAGGAATTGTGTTATATTATTTAACATAAAATAAATATCCAACATAAATTGAAAATAATGTTTTTTTTTATTCCTATTAGACATAATATAAAAACTAAGCAGAAATTTTATTAGACATCATGGTAAAAGACATTGTAAATTTTATTTATTTTATTTAACAGATAATAATAACAAATTTTATTTTCTGAAATATACATATCAGTTTCAATGTCCAGTGAGAAATGATTAGTTGAAGAGACGTCAAATCTCCACATTCAAAATTCCTATCGATATAAACGTTGAAAATTAAATGTTTTTGTATTACTTGATTTAAATTTTAAATGACTATGATTAGCGTAAGTTTCAGATGTTCAATAAATTCAGTAAAAGATAGTAGCTTTGTTATCCTCTATTAATATAGTAATTTAATGTATCGAGTTTTTAATACACTTTTAGAATGATACCAGTGGTCCATTAATATCACGTACTTGTACCACATTTTTATCCGTTGTTTATTTATTCACGAGTCAGTATAATAGGATTTGCAACTTAATTAATTAAAAAATGTTTCAACGTTATAACTGTAATTTAATTTAGTTTTGTGGTTTTTTTTAATTTAGTTTACTTCAAAATATTAAATCATTATCAGAATAATTAAATTACTCGTTTTATTAATTTTGTATACGCATTCCATAACATTATATACGTTTTATTTGGATATCTTTGTTCTTATTAATGAGTACTATTTCTATTACAAAATTTAATTAAGTTAAATGCCTGAATAAATTAAATTTTTAATGTTAAATATAGATAATAGATAGATAATAGATAGATATAATAGATAGATAATAGATAGATAATAGATAGATAATAGATAGATAATAGATAGATAATAGATAGATAATAGATAATAGATTATAGATAATAGATAGATGTTAAATATAGATAAATAATACATTTTATATTCTTTATAAAAACAGTGAATTTCTACACTTACGCATTTTATAACAGTACATGTAATTTTATAGAAACAATTTTATACTGCGGAGCATTATCATTGATGTATACAATATGTACGACCAATAGCATTGTTTTGTATAAATATATATCATCTGTGTTATACCGTATAGTTCAATATTTATATCAACTAATATACTTCAAGTCACAAAGAAGTATCATCTGGAATATAATTTTTCGTATCATAAAAATATCATGATTAATTATCGAAGATAATAATGGCTTGTCAGCATAGATGCACCTGACGGAACAAGTATAAAATGCAGTCTATTCATGGGATTGTCATCAAACAGCACAATGTATTCCAGAGCTATCGTGTTCTTTGCTGTCCTAACCATGGCGGTCGCTGCAAATGGTAAGTCAATTCTTTCGATTTATATAACGTACCCGGGAAAAAATGTTTTATATATAATTTTATATAATTATATATAAAACATTTTATACTAGGTAGATATAATTTGTATTCAATAATTTGCTTAAAAAATTTGCTTAAAAAATGGTCATTAAGACATAAAAAATTTCTCTTATTAATTAAAAAATTTTAAATAAATAATAACTAAATAATTGTATTGTTATACAAATTACAAAACAAAGTTTAGTTTTTAATTAAAAATTTTCTTCTAAAATATTATTTCATAAAGAGCTAGCTTCGATGTGCTATGCTCAACTTCTTCTAAATTTTCTTAAACATTATTAATTTAAATTATAGTGCAGCCCCGAATCAACATCCAGATGCCACCTACCGGGCCGGGTCTTACTTCGTTTGAGACTCGTGTGGTTGGAGGTGACGAAGCGCCGAAAGGAAGATACCCATATATGCTTTCCCTTCAAAGGCTGAGCCTTTTTTCCTATCAGCATTTCTGCGGCGGATCCATCCTGAACGAACAATGGGGTATAACAGCAGCACATTGTACTGTAAATAATCGCGCAAGCAGTGTTATCGTCATGGCTGGAAAATTCAATCTTAAACTTCTAGAGCCAACCGAACAGTTAACAAAAGTGTCAAAATGGATCATACATGAGAAATATAAAGGGTAAGCGAAACGTTGAAACAGTGAATACGAACAATTAAATTAATTCGTCTTTGAATAATATTTGTTTAATATGTAATCAATGTGTTTATAATTATATATGTATATAATTATTAATTTCTAATTGTATTATATATAGAAATAATTTAGAACATAATAGCTCTTACATCAATAATAATCAGCAATTTTATTTGTAAAATAAATTATTTGTATAATAATCGAAATTACTATCACTAATGTAAGGTTACAACATTGGTATTAATATCGTGATTGACATGTATAGGATATTAGAAAACTATATCTGATTATTATTAGAAATATGATATTAGAAAACTATGCTCAAAAAACATATATCTCAAATAAATAATATGACGCACGAATTATATTTTGAGATTTGTTATGATGTACATATATTCTATTCTTTTAATTCTGCAGGTTACTACTATTCTTTCACTAAACACTGAAAGAAAAGATTGACTGAATATGGCATAGCATTTTTAATTGGTTGCAGCAGTCAATTTTTGGTTGCGTTAGCCTATCAAAATTCTATACTGACATTGCAGATTATAGACTAACGTAACCAAAAATTGACTGCTGCAACCAAAAATTGGTTGTCGCAACCAGAAATTTACTGCAACAACCAATCTTTTCTTTTAGTGTACTACAATTTTTTTTAATATTAACACGTTAGCTTAAACGCATATTTTTTTAAAACTGTATAATTGATAAGAACATAATTTTATATATACATGCGATACGTATTTTCTAACTTTCAGTGGTGTTGGCCCAAATGATATTGCTCTGATTAAGTTCACTTTTTCATTGAAGCTTAACATGAACACACAACCTATCGTGTTACCCCAACCAAACAGTGAACCAACTGGACAGGCATGGCTTAGTGGATGGAGCTCTACTTCGACTACTGATATTCCAATACTGCCATCTACACTTCAACATGCTCTGACGACCATCATCGATCGCAAACTTTGCGACGCAATCGTCACTAACATGACAGGTTTTCCTTCTCTTGTTGATGACACCAATATCTGCACTGAGCCAAAGTCGAGCAAACCAAATTCTGCATGCAGCGTATGTGCCAGATATTCGGCAAATTCAATGAATGATAGCAGCAATTGTTGGCAATTAATGTAGCAATTTAATGTATTGTTTTTAATATGCTTTTAGGGTGATTCTGGTGGTCCACTAGCTATCTTTACAGGAGGAAAACCGGTTCTTATTGGACTTGTATCTTGGGGTCTTATGCCTTGTGGTACTTTAGGCGCGCCAACCATATACATTAGTGTATCTAAATTCAATGACTGGATTGCACAGAATATTAATCCACATTTCAATTATGTTTGACGACAATATTGACAATATATATGAATGTATAATATATATGAGGAATTGTGATATTATTGAGGAATGAGGAATTGTGTTATATTATTTAACATAAAATAAATATCCAACATAAATTGAAAATAATGTTTTTTTTTATTCCTATTAGACATAATATAAAAACTAAGCAGAAATTTTATTAGACATCATGGTAAAAGACATTGTAAATTTTATTTATTTTATTTAACAGATAATAATAACAAATTTTATTTTCTGAAATATACATATCAGTTTCAATGTCCAGTGAGAAATGATTAGTTGAAGAGACGTCAAATCTCCACATTCAAAATTCCTATCGATATAAACGTTGAAAATTAATTGTTTTTGTATTACTTGATTTAAATTTTAAATGACTATGATTAGCGTAAGTTTCAGATGTTCAATAAATTCAGTAAAAGATAGTAGCTTTGTTATCCTCTATTAATATATGTAGTAATTTAATGTATCGAGTTTTTAATGTTGAGATGGACGTTCCAATTTAACCGCGCGTGACGCGCACGCTCCCACGCCGCCGCCTAGCGCCTATCAGCGAGAGGCCTAAGTCCGATCGGTTTCTGAACGCTTGAGATATCTGTCTGTTGATCCAACGATCTTAACGGTTTCTAACGTATTGTAATAATCTGGATCTAGCGTCAAATAAAAACGGAGAAATACTCTCATTCGATTACGGTCTCAAGTGATTTCTGCCTAACACTCAATTATAGTATCAAACGGCCTTAACAGGTTATGGGCCCAGGCCGCGTGGCGGAAGTAATCGTGTACGTACTTAATCGAACCGTTAGAACGCTTGCGTAAGTCTGAGTGAAACCGAAATACGACGAAGCTGAAAATGAATTCGAACGTTGTTAGAATCGAAACTCTCAATCGTGTCAATTATGACACATGGAAACTTCAAATGCAGGCACTGTTGATTAAAAATGACGCATGGGGTTATGTGAACGGCGAAATTCCAAAACCGTTACCCACAGCGAACAATGCATCTGAGATCGCGGC